GGGGGGGGGGGGGGTGCTGCTGGGCCACAGGCTGTGGTCACATGATATGACTGAGCCGGTCCCTTGTGTCGGCGTGCCTAGCCTAGAGCCCAGGCTTGAAGGGACGCCTTTCCTGCCCTCCTCCGCTCTACCCCAATGCTGAGGTTGGCTTCACAGACAAGGGGACACGCGACAACCTCCCCTTCCTTACAAAGGCTGGCTGGGGGCCAGCACATGGCGGTGGGGTTTTGCCACTTCCTTCAGCAGCCCTGTGAGGTGGGGGTCGTCATCTTCATTTCACAGATGGGGAAACTGAGGCCAATGAAGGGAGTTATTGCCCACATGCTAGTGAGTGGTGCCGATGATCCCCTAGCCCGTTAACTTTCCACTGCACCAGCCGCCTCTGAAAATCAAGTCCCGGGACCCAGCCAAGGGGGCTGCTGCAGGACCTCAAGGTGTGAGAAAGATTTTGTGTGGGGACACGCAGGAGCCAGGTCTGGAGGCCAGATAGAGCCTAGCATGTGTGGGGACCAAGGAGGTGTGGGACAAGGAAGGGAGGGCAGAAGTGGGGCCTGGCCACTCAGGGTGGTGCCCAGTAGCCCCGGCCTGCTCGCCAGACCAGCTCCTGAGGGTGTGCAGTGTGACAACGGGACAGATCGGGAGAGGGCTGGGGCAGTGGGTGGGAAGGGCGGGAGAGCCTGGCGGCCTTGCGCCTTGGCTTTGGGGCTCCCCGGAGCACCCCCTGCTTGGTCCTGGAGCGGAAGCCTCAGCCCAAATGGCACAGGGAGACAGCTGAGGTCCAGCGGTGTTGGACTCTGCTGAGGGCACTTGGTGAAGCCACTTGGGAGAAACTCAGGCCATCTGCCCCCCAAGCGGCTCTGGCCAAACTCAGGGGTTTGTGATGAGGCCCTGGAGGGATGTGGGGCGGGGGGTAGTTGGGCTGGTGGGGATGCAGCAGGGGCTGTGAAAAGCCCTGATCCATGCCTGCTATGGGCTTGTGGTAAGCATCTCCCACACCCCTCCTCGCCTCAATTTCTCCTGCATGATGGATCATTCCATCTGCCTTGCAGAGTTGCCGCAGAGGTGAATCAAAGTCATCGTGTTCCATGAGTCACAACTTGTCGTGTTTGCTCTTGGGTGGTGGGGCAGGCACCAGGGTGGTGGATCGCCCCAGTCATCAGGGAGGCCTGATCCTATCTGCTCCCCATTCCCAGCCCTGCCTTGCTCCCTTCTCCTGGGCTCAGCCATGTTCCCCTCCACCGGCCTTGCTCTGATAATGGTTACGGTGCTGGCGGGGGGTGGTGCTGGGCACAAGGGGGTCCTGCCTCTCTGAATGCAGCCTGCGAGGCGGTGGGGGACAGGGAGGCAGGAGGACGCAGCACCAGGTGATCTGAGTTCCAGGGCCAGGCTGTTGACCGCAGGCACATTTCCCCGAGTCAGTTCTGTGTGATGAGGACAATAAATCCCCCCCTTTAAGGGAATGAGGAAGAGGCGTGATGGGCACCTGGGGAGGGCGTTGGAAGTGGAGGCTTTTGTGGTGACAATGTCACCAAATTTGGGACCGGCGGGGTAAAGCAAGAGCCAGGAAGCCTGGCTTCTGGTCTGAGTTGCTGGGTGACCTCAGATAGCTCGGTGCCTCGTCGGGCCCCTGGCCTCTGCTGGCATGTGAAAGCCTCTCTGAGGTCCCTTCCCACCCCTGGAAGTTTGAGGGGCACTACGCTTTCCAGACCTGAGCCCCAAAGCCAGGATGGCGGGTGGGGCTCTGCTCCCCTCATGGTCCCAGCAGAAGCAGCAGCCATGTTTCTGCTCAGAGCATCCCTCTGGGACTCCACACAGACAAGAAGAACCAGGCAAGATGGAGCGGCCGCTGGTGCCGTGACCCTTGTGGACCTCAGTTCTTGCTCTGTGCAGAGGCACAGCAGCCCGGGCTCTGCCTCCTCTCCCAGGGTCTCACGGGATGCAGGATGGCACTCGCACCCTCCGGTCCTTTCTCCTGGCCCAGGAGGATTTGCCGAAATGAAGTGAAGGCCCCCTCTGCCTGGGACACCTGACATGCCCAGATTCCTCCCTGCCTCTGGTGATCTCGGGAGGGACTCGGCAGTACTGGAAGAGAAACCATAGGTGCTGAGAAACTGGTGTCCGGGGAGGGAGCTGAATTGTTCGCGCCGCTCTGGGCCGGGATCACCAGACCCGGAAGGTCACACGGTGAAAACAGGCCAAGCAGGCTCATGGCTGCCCCTGCGGATGTGTGCTGGGGCCTGTCTGCTGCAGCCGCTCTTACCTTCCCTCTCCCCTTGCCTGTTGCCCGTCTGCAGGCCTGAGTCGGGGTGATGCTGAAGATGATGACCTTCTTCCAAGGCCTACCCGGCCAGCAGACTGTCCCAGGGGTTCCCGACCTCCCCAGAAGCTCCCACAAGTTGCCCCCCACCTCAGAGGTGGAATCAGAGGCCTCCATGTCAGAGGCCTCTTCTGAGGACCTGGTGCCACCCCAGGAGGCCAAGGGAGCCCCGGACAGGGATGAGGAAGAGGCTACCAAGAAGAAGAAGAAGAAGAGGCCAAAAGGACTGGCCAACGTGTTCAGCGTCTTCACCAAAGGAAGGAAGAAGAAGGGTCAGCCCAGCTCAGCAGAGCCAGAGGGCCAGCCCGAGTCCCAGCCTGAGCTGAGTGGCCCGCTGCCCACAGGTAGGCCGGGGCCCCGGGCGGCGTGGGTACCCGGGATCGGAGCCGGCGGGGGCGCTCCGGGCAGGGCTGGGGCGCATCCCGGCGAGCGGGGCGCGAGCGCGGGAGAGACGGGCTTGGCCCCGCCGCGCCGGGAGGAGGCCGACCCGCTTCCGCCCGGGCCCGGGGCGCGCGACGCCCCCTCCCGGGCGCCCGCTGACGGCGTGTCCCCGGCCCCGCAGCGGAGGAGCTCAAGGCGGACCTGGAGCGCGGGCGGCTGGAGGCGGCGCGGCCGCTG